AGAGAGAGAGAGTCTCCATAGAAATGAGCCTAAGCAGTGAGGTTGAATAAAGTAGTACAGTATATTTGGTAATAAGATACACAGATATCACATAAGTATTTATTTACCATATCAATGCTAAATTTCCTTCTAGGTTTCCAAATGCGGGGAAGTCATCTCTACTAAGCAAGGTCTCTCATGCCAAACCCCAGATTGCAGATTATGCATGTAAGTAAGTTTATATTCTTATTTTTACCGCTGTAGCGTTTCATAAAAGTCTTTTCTGTGCCTTGATTTGCAGGTTTGTAGTAGAGAACAGAAAATAACTGTGTTATGAGCTAAATGTTATACAGTCTTTTAAATTCTAGAAGTACTTTAAAGAGGTAACTTGCTATTTCTGCAAACACTTTTTTCCTCTCTCCCTTTCTATAGTTACAACAATAAAGCCTGAACTGGGAAAGATCATGTATGCAGATTATAAGCAGGTTGGTCTGACTTTTATTCTTGTTATTCATTATAAGTGTATATAATGGCATGTTGTTTAACATCCTTTCAGAAAGAAAAAGGAAACTTCCTACTTGTATATTTTCTGATGTGTATATATCATGTATAGATATGTAATACAGCTTGGGGCCTTTTTAAGTTCAAGAAACTAAGAGTGAGAGTGCTCACCCYAACAGCCAGGATAGTGCAGGACCTGCATCCAGCTCCATGGGCGATTAGGCTGTAACTCAGGAAAGCTGGGGGTGCTCCTGCCCATCACCTTGTTTGTGTCAACCCACCTCTAACCAGGTTCTTCTGGTAAAAGCAGCAAATAGTTCTGCGGTGCTTGGAACCCTTTTTGCAGTCTCCGCTGGGGTGGGCAGGAGAATTTGCTCAACCCAAAGTGAGACTATGATAGTTTTCTTGCAAGTAGATTTTGGTGCAGAACTGGACCCTAGGTTTCTATGGAGCTAGAGCAAACATCTTGATTCTACGTGCTTCTTTGATGTATTTTTGCTTTGTGCTTTATTTTTTTTTAAGTATGTATGAGCTCATTGCTTCCAAGTTAAAACGCAAATGCATAAAAGGGTTGCAGATGAGTTAATGAAAAACATACTTCAGATATAAAAAGGCAGGAAACTCTTTTCCTCTTAAGAATCAATAATCTTAGGGGACTCAGTAGCCAGTGATTGAAATCTGCATTTATTCAAATTAGGCACAGGAGTCAATACTGTAATTTCTTTGTATCAAGCTTCCCTTTCTGCATATTCCTTGCAAATGATGCTTTGGGTCACAGTTAAAGGCTCAGAGAGCTTACAATGCAGAATTTGGTGTGTGAGCACTTAATATTTGAGCAGACCTGGTATTTGTTCATTTTATCTAATACTTATTTAATCTGTTTCTTTACTACATGTCTTTTGAGTATATTTAAATAGAATTAGCTGATACAAATATGAAACATAATACTCTGGTGTTCCAAACTTTACTTACCAGACCATTGCAGGTGAAAATTAGTTCCYACCTTATTTTACAGAGCAGAGGATTGTGAGAGAAACAATCCTTGTTACACGTGCATACGTGTATGTACGTATCCTCTGTTTTGCTTTAGCAAGACAATTAATGAAGATTTGTCTATGGTGATATATTAAAATGTTATCTTGTTACACACATGCTTTAGGTTAAGATTTACAGACATCAGGAAAATACTGAGCAAGTACAGAAATGCAGAATCCCAGAGAAGTTTCTTTTAAAGAAGATTTGAAAAAGTCAAGAGACTAATTTGAWTATTTTTAGCTATTATTTGATCTTAAAGAATAATCTCACTTTTGTTACCTGCACTTGGTTTGAAGTACTGTTTACTAAGCAATAAGATGAATAAATTAACAGTTGAATCCTTTAAAACAGTTGGGAATAAAATGGGTTACGGAATTTTTCTCTTAGATGCTTCTTTATTACACAATTTTCTTAAATTACTTTGAACAATATTACAAATTAAGAGTAACTTGTTCTAGAAAACTGTACTGCAAATAACAGGCTTGTTTCTAGCCTTTGGAAAAGTCACTGCAGGGAATCAGAAACTGCTGGTGGAACAGGGTCCTTGTGCARGAAAGCTGCTCCCGCACTTCTTTCCTTTCCGCAGTTTGTTTGACGTCACCTTTTGCTCCTGGCTGATTCTGCAGTTGCTTGTTTCCATACCACAATGTCTGGTGAGGAATGAAAACTGTAAGCACTATTCTAAGTCAAGGGGGGTAGTGACTGGCATGAAAAGAAGCATCTGTGAGTAACGGGGTATTTCAGATCTCAGTGTAGGTACTCTGAYGACAACAACAACAGAGTGTTTAAAAGCAGTCAATAAGGTGACTAGCCCTCTCTCAAAAGGCTCATCTACTTATTCCTATTCCTTACTCTGCTGCTACTTTTTTTTTCCTCCTCTCCCTGTTAAACAATGAAATATATAAGAGAATGTGTTTGTTTCATCATAGTGTGCTACGAAGGACAAAATAGGTGCAAGGTCCCTGTTGCCCTTATGAGCCTGGTACTTGGCGCAGGGAGGAATTTGCAGTGCAGAGGCACAAAAGTAGAGGACCACATTAGAAGTTTGAACTCAGATATTAGGTTAGATCTTCCACTGTTGGTAGAAACTGGAAGAACCTTTTATATCTTCTACCAAAATACGGGAGCAACGTGCTGCTTCGAGAGAATCTGAGTTTATTTATAAGGTCTGTTAAAAAAAAATATTTCTTCTTTCAGAGATAGCTGGAKGTGGTGGTGGTTCTATAAACCACCCAAACACATCACACCTGAGGGTGGCTGCTCCTGTTCTAACTCCCTTTCTTGTTTCTAGTTGTAAGTCTGTATTCACCCACTGGAATCTCAGCTCTCCCTAAATCAAAAATTCAGAGGCAAAGCTTGAAATAGATAAGAAAAGCATGATGTTCAGAAGGTAGTGAACACCATGGCAGGTGAGTGGGAGGGAAACTCGCCAGCAAGATAGGGAGCATTGGTSTACCAGAAGGCTCCATCCTACAGTAGGTAGCAAAATTATTGTGTGTTGGCTTTGGGCCCAGCTTTGAAGCCTTTCTTTGTCCTTGGTCATAGCTTTTATTGAGTTACTGAATAGAGTTTGAGGGGTATTATTATTATGATTATTATTATTATTTATTATGCCGTTCTTCCACCTGTCTTAGCTCTCCCTCGCCGCTTTGTACAGCCCTCCCAGTCAGCAGAGAAACTGTCAGATTTCTGACTGTTTTGACAGTCCCTGCTGGTCTCTGGTTGACAGCTGGTGAATCACTCAATCTAATTGCAGTTTAAAAGGAGAAGAGAAAGCCTTGGAGTTGCTTATGTTTGGGAGAGCAACATTACATGGGTTTGCATTTGGTAAAATGAATCTCAGTAGCTACGAAGATCAGACTTCTATTTTCTTTTTCCRTGACAGTTTGATTTCTGTACGATGTGGTAGCCTAATCTGCCTGCTSTCCAGAATCTGCTTTATTCTCAGGTAGCACGTAACTTCTTGAAGATCTCCGCTGAGATATTGTTATCCTTTACCTGCTAGTCGACAAATAGCTATAAGTGAATAGATGAAGATTGCAGTTCGTCTGTAATGGCAGCATTTCCTTTAAACCTGTCTCTGATAATAGATTTTAAATGTACTGAAACAGCCAACACAGGCTGCCAGAAAACTGTYGCCCTCTGCAATTCCAAGGAATATATACTTGTAAAAGAAGCCTCAAAATAGGTGCATTTCAGATGCTTCTGTGTCTGAGTTCTCTTGTCTGTATGAAATCATGGTAGATATTGATAGTCCAAACCCACCATGTTTGCTTAATTTTGCTTTTATTTGAAAATTCTCTTTTCTTAGATCTCAGTAGCTGATCTCCCAGGACTCATTGAAGGGGCTCATGCAAACAGAGGAATGGGCCACAAATTTCTCAAACACATAGAAAGAACGAAACAGCTTCTCTTGGTTGTAAGTGAAATAAAATTTAGAGCTTAGTGAAATCAAAGGCAGTGCATTAAATGAAATAGATATTAATTGAAGTGAATTTGGAAAATCGCTTTTGCATTTGTGTGTTTCAGGATAAGCAAATGTAGCTGTAATGTTGTTTTTTAGAATGGAAAGCTCAAATAACTTGATGATAACTGCAGTCCTTAAATAGAATTTATTTTCAAGTTTGCCAAGTAATTTAGCTCTGGAAAGTGTTCCAAGCACAGATAAGGCAAGGGGCTAAACAATTAGATCTAAACAATTAGATCTAAACAATTAGATCCCCTTACAAAAGAGGTTTAAAACCCAATAGCTAAGGAACATGCTGCTGAAACCAGTCACTTTTTGTCAACAGCATGTGTGACTTTTATTTTGGTGTATAGATGCTTTGTTGTTTGCTTAGGAATTAGGGCATGCTGCTGGACATTTTACTGCAGAGTAGTTGATGCAGAGTACCTTGATACTGGGGCATAATCTTAAACCACAAAGCTTGTTGTTGTGTAACTTTTTCAGGTTGATGTGTCTGGATTTCGGCTGTCCATCAAGACTCGTTTCAGAACAGCCTTTGAAACTATCCTGCTTCTAACAAAGGTACCTCCTGACTTCCTTCTTGTTGGTTGTAGTTCTTCTTGAGCCTCAAGAGGCAATTACACAATTTTGATCAAGAAGTTTCAAATCTTGATGTGATTGCTGGATTTATGAGGCCAGTTTAAAAAGTTCTAAATTACCTGGAGTGATGAAACCTTCATTGCTTTGCTTTATGTAACTGCAACTGCTTTATGTAACTGTAGCATCTGAAAGAGGATATTTCTTATAGTCAAGCTAAGGTTAGGGGGAAAAAAAAAAACCCTTTTCACAGCAGTTTCGTAGTCTTTTAGAAAGTAGAGATTGAATGGGTATGGTTAAATTCCTGCCGTAATGCCCTTACTACACCTACTAAGAGAGAGACCAAGGCACAGATGAGCTGTCAGGCACGAGGTTTGCACACTTTATTTCCTTGTTTTGTCATTAAAACTGTTCAATAACTCTTGTTTCTTTCTTCTGACTTCATGTAATGAATCTTCCACTGTGTGTTTATGTTTAGCTGCTTCATGCTAGTGCTTTTATGTCCAATAAAAAGCATTGTCTGTGAAAATGCTTAGGAATTGGAAATTGTCCCAAAACTTTGCTAGTTAAGTCTGAACTTTTTCTGAACAAATTGATTTTGTGTATGAGATTATATAAATATCAGGAAAATAGATAAATAAAACTGCCCTCCTTTGTGGGAGGATGTTTGAGAACTGTCCAGACTGCTCGCCTGAAACATCTGCATTTGAGAAAGTGATCACTGTAGTAGTGAAGTGATCACACTGTAAGAAGTGTTTGCCTCTGACACATAACTTTCATACACCAGTTTTGAGCACTTCAGTGTATCTCAAAGATGTTTAACCATGAGGAATGTTCAGACACACAATTGAGAGACAAAGTGTAAAACTGAAGTAGTACTCGTTAAACTACAAATATCAAGTMAAATTTGCTTGTCTTTGAAGGAACTGGAACTGTACAAAGAAGAACTTCTAAGAAAGCCTGCACTTCTTGCTATTAATAAAATGGATTTGCCTGATTCAAAGGATAACTTGAGTGAACTTATGCAACAACTACAGAATCCTCAAGGTAACTGGGACAAAAGTAATAATGAATTTTCATTAGCTTTGGGAGCATTGACATTGGGGTAGCTTTGGGAGCATTGACAAGGAGATGTTTGAATTAAATTCAGGTTAACTATTATATTTAGCTATTTATTATACTTAGTATTTCCTGGAGATATATTTTGGGAAGAAGGAGGAAAAGAATATATATATATATGTATGTATGTATATATGTGTATATATATATATGTATATATGTTAGAGAGAGAAAGAGAGAGAGAGAGAGAGAGAGGGTGTATTTCATGAAGAAGAGCAGGAAGAAAATATCTATCTTTCCCTGCTAAGATAGGGGAGAGTCCAGATACCTCAGATAACAGTAACCCCCTGCTTTGATGGTTACCTTCCAGACACTGAAGTATATAAAAATCTGTCATGTGATGACTGACCCCAGCACCATGTAGGTTTACTGTGTTTCAGTTTTGCTATTTATACTGAAGTGAAGTTCTTCCTATTTCCTGGAGCAGTGCTTGAAACTATTTTTGCCATATACTACAGCCTGAAGGAAGGATATGAGAACATTGATGCAACTGCTATGTTAGTACCCGTCTTTGAGAGACTACTTTTAGCTTTTTTAAGACAAAATAGTGTTTTTATTCTATATTAATTCCAATATAATGTTCATTATTATCATTTATTAAAATTTATTTTCCAAATGATTTTTTTTAATGGATTTTATAGTGATACACTGTGTGGGGTTTTTACTAACTCTCTCAGTGTGCTGTTTCAGACTTCTTACACTTACTACCAGAAGAAGTGGTTCCTGAAAGTACAATGAAGTTCAAAGATATAATTCCTGTATCAACATWTACTGGCCAAGGAATTGAGGAACTGAAAACATGTATAAGAAAATCACTAGATGAAGAAGCAGACAAGGAGAATGAAGACTATCAGAAAAAGAAACTACTACTTTTGCAGACTTCAGGAGAAAAACTAATGAATAGAGGCTAGCATTCTTATGCACTCAGTGGATATTACATTTGTATTTTACCATAAATACARCTACTTATCATGAAACAGGCCTTGATTTCTGAGCTAAGACTACCATTGCTTGAACTTGTTCAATTTTAAGACAAAGCTAAAATGTTGCCAGGTATGTAAGAAATGGACAATGTAAGATGAATGTTGCTCTCTAAAATGTGAACAATGTCGTTCAAGAATATGGGGAAAGGGGCTGAGGAAAAAATAAGTTATAAAAATTTTCCTTTTTTTTCTTGAGCATTTCCTGTGTTGTTTCAGAACTTATTTACCCAGACTCTTAAATAAAAGTTTATTTGAAATTCAAATTTAATTTGGCAATTGTAAAATGCTATTAATGTGACAAAACAGTAAATTATAAAAGGTTCATAGTAGAAGATTATTTAGGTTTGTCAGACTGCTGTAGGATTTAGATACAGTTTTTAATGTCCTACACAAATGAGAAGAACAAATGTTTGGAACTTGGCTTTATTTGAATCATGGAAAAGCTGAAAGAGCTTCAGCAGGAGGAGGTTGCTTGYGCTCCAGGCGGGATGTGGTCGAGCAGGAATCCACTGCAGCTGCAACAGGGTCGTACACGTGCTTGTCTGCGGGCTGCAGTGTGAAGCAGCTGTCTCGGTCTGCATAGAGAAAGCACTCAAATAGGAGTAAATACCAAGGTATAGTAAACAAGGAAAGTAACCTCGTTTGGCGGGGAAAGGATGAAGATGGTTTGCCTTTTTATTTAGTCCAAGCATTTTAAAATAAAGCTTTTACACTCATAGGTGTCCGTAGTACAATGGATAGATGTTTTATGCAGACTTCCACAGAAAATTTCTGAAGTAAGGGAGAGGAGGGGGGGAAAATGRCAAATGGCAGCAGAAGTTAGTTGTCCTGAAACAAAGGCAAATTAAGGAAAAGTTACACATCTGTAATGCCTGGGAAGGCTACGAGGAAATGATGGAGAATGGAGATGATGAAGAATCAAGGGTAGGTTGTGCCTGTGTTGCCTTTTGAGGKGCCTAAAAACTTAAGAAATTCAAATGCTACAAGTATTTGCTATTCTATAGGATAAAAAAAAAAAAAAGATAACACACACTTAGTTTAAAGGAGTTTGTTTAAAACACAAGTTTGTTCTAAAACGGACTTTTTATTTCATTTTAAGCCGAAGCAGCAGCGGCGGCCGCGGGGCACGCTGGGAGCGGCGGCGG